TTAGCTCAGAACCCACAATTTCATCGGCGAACAAAACACATTGACTTGAAGAACTTTTTTATTAGAGAAAAAATTCAAGATGGAACGGTTGATATCACACAAATTTCAACAAGTCGCTGATGTGATGACAAAGCCACTGGACAGAGTCAGACTGAAACTCCTGTGTGGACATATGGGACTAATGTCATAAAATGTTTTGAAACAAGGGAAAGTATTGAAATAATATATATGTATATTATATATGTTTCAATATATTTATGACTTTCCATAGTTTCAGACAATCCTATATTATTGCTAACTTGACTAACTTGCACGTGTATGCTTTTCGCTTTTTGTCGACTGACGTGTCTTCTAATATTTCAATTAACGTTTCTTTAATAAACAATTATATTAAAAACAAACAAAGAGGTTTTTATTTTTTTTTTTAAACACAATATTAGTATAAAAATAAAGTACATTATGAATTAAAATGATAATCTACATTACTTGCTATAAAACAAATGGGTGCAAAGAGAAATAAAAACGGTATTAAATTGAAATAAAATTGCGTTTCTGTCATAGTAAATAGCATACGATGACGATATAGCTGAATTAAACTGTTAAAAAATTGAAGAGTCCGTGGAAAATTAATTAATGACAATTTAAAAGGTTTAAATAGACCCAAAGGTGAAATTTCAAATGTATTAATTATTAATTTTGAATGTTTCAAATGCTCGATCAAGTTATTTTTTTTATCCGTTTATTTTTCAAACATTAAAAAAAATAATTTTGAAAAAAAGGGTCCAGCATAACCACGAGTGTTTTTTCAGCCAACCCCAAAAGCATCCATTCCATACATTTAAAGTCACATATTCAATTGATCACACACAAAAAAAGTAATAACGGAAATAGTTATGATCAAACATTATTGTGCAGGTTTACCTTGTATTTTGATGTTTTGTATTCTTCTGATTTAGAGAAGTTTGACTCGTGGCAGACAGTTAACTCCAGTATTTTGATGATGTCGCCTTGAAGAAGAGCAATGTCGGGACGAAGAGTTTTGAAGAGAGATGATACTGGGCGATATTTGTTGCAATTTGAGTCTGCATAAATCGAGACATCAACATCTGCGAACGATTCAATCTTCTCCAAAATTATGGATAGTATTTTGTTGTGCCGCATCGTGTATCTTTTTAAGATCTCTATCGAATCACAATTTGATAATACATGCTTGTTAGTTTGGCGAGCATTGCATAGTGGACACAAGGCCAATAATAATAATAATATGAGAACATCTTTTTATTTTAAGACATACATTGTAATTATATAGTTAAAGTAAAAAAACTTATAATGTTAATTACATAGATAATCTGCGATGCTCGCCATACATTTTAAATGGGCACAAAGAGAAATAGAAGCAGCCTTAAATCATGTTCAAATCGTGTTCCTATCGGAATTAATTAAACTTCTATGAAAAGGGTCAGACCAAATAAAATTAATTAATGATAGTTTAAAATATTTAAAAAAACCTAGCGAGGAAATTTCAAATGTATTTATTATAATATTTGAGTTTTTCAGTTCGTCTATCAAATTGTTATTAAGATTTTGAAAGTATTTTGATGTTTTATATTCTTTAGATTTAGAAAAGTTAGATTCATGGCAAACTGTTAATTCTAGTATTTCGATAGTATCACCAATAATAATAATAATAGTAGTAGTAGTAGTAGTAGATCCATTCGTGAATGGATCTTCCATAAAGATAACACCAACTCTTCGAACACTCTGCCCAGTGCCAAGACATGCATCTGCAATGAAAGATGTTAACAACACCGAAAAAACAGCGGCGTCAGCAGATCAGATATCTGACTAACTGATTTTCCTGAAAATAAACAGAATAATGATGAAATATTTGAAGAAATCTAACCTGAATATTTCACCGTTGATCAGCTTAGGTCCTTGTTGCAATGTAAACTCATACATACAATTTTCTCCTCCTTCGAAAATTCTCGAAAGTGTTCTGTTAATTAATTTTTTAATTTAATTAGTTAATATTATTTCATACTCGTGATATTACTTTGATTTTTGTTACTATTATATAATGTTTTAGACAATTGCAGAAACGTTGTAAAATTTTTATTTTCCAATTTGAAATAATCATTTGAAATTTTTTATTTCTTTGCTATGACATTCACTCAATTACATTTTAATTAAGGTGGTCTGCACAAGTTATTTTTCTTTTAGATCTCCTGGTGATTTTCTTATTTACCAAATAAATGACTGGAAATAAAAAATAAAAAAAAATAATGGGCGAAGAACATATGACCATATCTAAATAAAATAGAGTGTTGTTATAACATTATTCTATATGATGACTTTTCAAGGCTCCTGAAGAACACAAATAATAATAAGCTCTGATTCAAAAAAATAAATAAACCCACACATACATACGAAAATAAACACGCACACATGAAAACACAAACATAGTCACACATGTATAAACAAGCATTTGCACACGAACAAACATGTACTATAATAATAATAATCAAGCTATCTACATACGAGTTGTAGTAATAGTAGTTGTAATAATTGTATTTATTAAGTGTGAAAACATTTGACACAATATATGGAATAACATAAATATTCTATAAATATATAACTGATTTGATGTTAATTTAATCTTTTCTTTCGCGATACTTAAGAAAGTTTGTGAAGTTCTCAGCATAACTGATTTATCCAATCATTAAAAAATAAGAAGACTTCGTTCAGGTTAGCTTGGCCTATGTTCACTGAAATTACATTACAAAAATATTTATTTCAATTACAAAATTAAACATATCCAGATATGAATTAAGCTGTTTTAAGGTTTTTCGCAAATTTTTGACTCAATATTTTTTTATTGTTCAAATTCTGTGCTAATGATTTGAGCTACAAGAATGTTTAGAAAAATTACAGCTACCGATTTGAATGCATAAGAAAGTTATAACCTGAGGTGACTGTATGACTATATAGTGATATATAAAGTGACTGAAACAATATTATCTAGGAAACAATCTTTTTAACATTTATTTGCTCTTGCTAATTTTTTTTAACTTTTTTCTTGTTAAAATTTTTTATAGAAATTTTGAGATTTTTTTTTAAAAATATTAACTCATAACTCACTATAACAGAAAATTAAATTCGCATTTGCAGTTACTTAAAAATATTTACCAGTGATATATGATTTTTTAAATACATGCAGGTAGATGGCCACATCACGCGATGAGATTATTCACACCTCTTTCAATAATAATGCAATTCTATTTTTACTTTCACACGCGTAAGAATTTTTGGAGTATGTTACAGGTATATTTTAAGTATATTAAAAATATTAGTATGTAAGTATATTACAAATATATGGAGTATATTTCAAGATAGTTCTTGCACTGTGTGGAGAATTGCAGACTTTATAATTGACGTCTGTGCGGTAAACCATGGATGTCTGATGTCTTAATATACCTACTATCTCATAATAAAAATGTATCGGCCAGTCGTCAGTCACCTTATAATGACTTATTGTTTAATTTAAAATAAGACTACCAAAATATCAATCAATCAACCAACCAGCCAATCAATCAATCAATGATACATCTATCTGTCTGCCCGTGTGTCCTACCTACCTACCTACCTACCTACCTACCTACCTACCTACCTTCCTTCCTTCCTACCTACCTACCTACCTAATAATCTAATTTCTACAATTTCAAATGGGCTGAACCTAAAAACTCGCAAGAACAAATAATTACAAAGAAGTACAAAAATAATGTAATTAATTGTTTTGATGTGATAAAAAAATGATTACATGCAAGATGAAATAAACATAATACATCAAACTCATTTCATATCTGTATTGATAAACGTGATGCAAATTTCTGGAATCTGGCATTGCAATGTTTTAGAGAATACAGTTTCAAAAAGAAACCTATAAATTGGTAATAAGTATTTTTAAAAATGATTATGACAACTTAACAGATACTACTTAAAATCACAATACTACAAGTGAGTTTTTTAATCTTTTAAAATCACATTCAAAAAAAGTGAATAAAAATATTATTTCGTTGATGCATATAAATGCAAGAAGCCTAAAAAAAACCTGTACCACAAAGTGCCTTCACTCAACGTTCTATTGAACCAGTGTTTCAATTCATTTAAGGTCATTATATCAGAAACATGACTGAAAGAAAGTAGGGTACTGCCAATTTAATCAATTTTAAAAATTAATTTTAAAAATGGACATAAAAAAGAAAGAAGGTGTAGGATTTTTGTCAGAAGTGATTTAAACTTTGATATTTCTGATGATATGATATTTGGGGATAATTTGCAGAAAAACAATTATAGTTTTTTTTACGAACTCATCTCGTTCATTTGAAAGTGTAGTCTTCACCACAGATTTTTTGACTATCTGCCCAAATTTGCAATTTCCCATGTTTCAAATCTAACGAAATTATCCTTAAAAATATTCATAATAATACAAAAATCGTTCGGATTAAAACGATTCCTAAAAACACAAAACTGGCACAAAACACAAAAACGTTCGATTTCATTAATATTGCCTTTGTCAAAAATATTAGAAAAACTCATGAGATAAGTAGAAACACCGTTCACCAGGTACTTTCAACTAGAAAAAAGGAAAGGATTAAGAGGTCACAGATACAAGCTCTTCAAGTAGACAGAAAATCCAATAAATCAAAAAATTTTCAGCAGCAGGCTGGTAAACGAGTGGAACGAGTTGAGCGACAAAGTTGTATCAGTGGATTCAATCAACAATTTTAAAATGAAGCTATGAGAGTTGGGATACTAGAACATATATTTTGTAAGTGTTCTTACAGAGATGCTAGCCTACTGAACCACTTTAAACTTTTTTTATTATTATAAAGTAAAAGTAAACTGAATTAATTTAAAAATTATAAATAGTGGTTTCTGATTTTCTCACTAAGAAAGTTTAAAATTTGTTAAAAAAAATTGAAGAAAAGATTTATAAATTGATGAATGAAGCCGAAGGGTCGGTTCTTAATCCATCTCCTGTTTTTCCAACTTCAGGAGCCACTGCTGACAAATCCCATTTTGTGACGATCAATACGCTTCCGTTTCATTCGACAGGACAGAATAAACAGTTTCAGAATTTACACAAAAATGATAAAATTATGACACTGAGAGTTTTTCTGATTTCTCGAAGACTTTTGATGGCATCACGAAAAACTGTTAAACAAATTTCATCACTACGGAATAAAGTACGCTTTTTCTCATTACAATATTTTATTTTAGTTTATGTATAAATCTCAATCTAAATTATTTCCTAAGTATTTATCAAATATATTAATTGAACCTAAACGCCCCGATTTAAGATCATCTTTTTGTTCTCGCTTTTTCTTAACTCGTGTTAAACACTCTTTTGCCGAATCTGCTTTTGCTTTTTTTGGTCTTTTTCTCTAGAACTCTCTACCTACTTCTCTAACTAATTCTCCATCACTTGCGAAGTTCAGAGCGTATCTCAAGACTCATCTGTTTGCAAAATTCATTGAGGAGCTCTGTTGAACATCGCGGAAATAGTGCTTTATAAGCTAATTGATCGATTGATTGATTGACTGATTGATTTTTGTAATATTTTTGTTTTATCATATATTCTAATAGACTTTAAAATTATTTCAGCAGTTAACATTAATTATTCTATATTAGTGTCATAAAAAACACTATAGTTTATTTCGTACAAGGTATTTACTAATATATCTTAAAAAGATTTTTAGTGTTCATCTATAGCACCAAAAACTATTGTTCGAAATTTTTTGGGGAACGCTGTTTTGCATCGTAATATTGGCCGCTTAATGTTATGTATTGTTGTTTTCCTATACAAGTTATTCTATTTATATTGATGTAAACAATTTACGGTCAACATTAAGTTGACTTGCATGTGGGTCGAGTTGGAGGGGGTTGGCTTAAATGGGGTTGAGTTAAATAGGGTTGGCTAGCCATGGAACCGTTCAAGCATCATAGGCATTACTGAATTTCGAACGTAAAAATCTGTGTGTATATTTTGATTTCTTACTGATTTTAACTGCACTTTTCGCAGGATCGCTAGCAACTTCATTAACGATTAAAAACAAATAACAAGTGATGTCCGAGATAAGTAGAAAGTAAAAGTAAACTAGATTAATTTAAAAATTGTCAACGGTGGTTTCTGATTTTCTCGCTAATAAAGTTCGATAATGGTTTGTTAAAAAAAGTTTGAAGAAAAGATTTATAAATTGATGGATGAGGCCGAAGGTTCGGTTCTTAATCCATCTCCTGTTTTTCCAACTTCAGGAGCCACTGTTGACAAATCCCATTTTAAACATATCAGACACACAGAAAGAGCATTTGAAGCACTGAATGCTTTAAGAAAGTTAGTCAACTTTATAATAAATTATTTTCAATCAGCAAATAAATTTTTGCAAATTTAAATTAAAAAATGAAAAAAAAAATTTTTTACTAAAGTTTAAAAAATTTCTGTTTAATATAATAAATTATAATATATATGATATATTATAAATGAATTATATGAGTCATTGTAAATTATTATTTTTTATTATTTTTAAAAAAATCAGAATATGACTGTTACTGAGTATGCAAGGCAATAATATAAAATTATAAATAAAATGATAATGAAAATAAATAACATAGAATTATGTTATAGTTAAGTGTATTGTATAACATATATATATATTATGTAGTATTTTTATAAATTCTACCTAATTGTTGGCATTTAATCAATTTAAAGTTTGTCTTTTCAATTTTCTTTACTAGAATTTTTTGGAAACTGTTCAATTTATTAAAAATAAACTTATCCAAGTTCATCATTATTTTTGTAGATTTAAATGGTATTCTGTATTCAGTGGCGTAGCGACTATAAAATTCAACCTGGGCTAATTTTTTATTAACGCCCCTTGACCAAAAAATTTCAATTTCTAATTTAATCAATCTAAAACTAAGTTATATATATTCAATTTTTTAAATTGCAATAAACATGCTAACAATAAAAAAAAGCAAATTATACAAATATATTAACTCTGATCATCTAAAAAAAGTGAATTGTCAAAAATTGGTAACAAAAGTCATGCTTACAAACATGAAAAAGAAGCAAGTTACACAAATATATTAATTCTATTTATTTAAACAGTGAAATGCAACAACAAATGGTGATAAGTTTCATTAGATGTCAACTTTTCTGGCTTTTGCTGAAGCGAACTCGTTGATTATCTCTTCAAAATTTAAACTATTGATTTCATTTTCTTGAATACTCAGCAATGCCAAGTCGCACATTTGCATATTCTGATTGTTTATTCATTTATTATAACATATATTATGTTGAGCATAACTTTCTTATTTTTGCAGACAAAATTTATTATGTGATGTGACGTTAGTGGCAGGGAATGTTTCGTTAGCAGCTCACAAGGTGGTGCTGGCAGCTTGCAGCTCATACTTCAAGGCAATGTTCACTTGCAGACTCAGTGAGTCAACTGCAGACAAGATAGATCTGAGGTTGCTAGATAGCACTGCTTTAGAGATCCTTGTAGATTTTATGTACACATCTGAATTGTATATTACGGAAGAAAATGTCCAGGTTCTAGCTCTTTCTTGGTTTATATATATAATGTGAAGGAGAGTCAGTGATTTTTACTTTTTTTGAAATAGATTTTATTTTTATTAATTATTTTTTACGCCTAAATCCAATTTTTTCAATATTTTGACTAAGAATCTAGTTTTTAAAAATTTGCTTTGGCTTAAAATTTTATTAAGTGAGTTTTATAATTTTCTATTCATAGGTTTCGTTTTACAACTGCTTTAGTACAGTAAAAACAAATGTGAATATTTTTTTTGATTTTGAAGGCATTGCTGCCAGGAGCGAACATCTTACAATTGTTCGAGGTGAAAGATGCCTGCTGTGACTTCCTACAATCACAACTTCATCCTTCAAACTGCATTGGCATTCGATCGTTTGCTGATCTGCACGCCTGCGCCGATCTTGCCTACTACGCCCATTTATATACGCAACAGCATTTTGTGTAAGTTCACTTTTCTTCAAAAATTATTAAAATTTTTCATTTAATTTTTTCTCCAAATGGTTTATGAACAATTACAAATATTATTTCATCTCTTTCATACCAACTTTGCTGCCCTAAGTCAAAAAATGCATAAATTTGTCAGGAATAATTGTTCTCTATTTTTTAAATTTTCTGGTTTTGATTTTAGTCTTATAAACTACATTTTCTGTTATAATCTTGCTAGTGTGGATGTGTAATTTTATGGTTTTCAATGAGTTGCATATTAATTGACATAAAATATAAAGATTGTAGTCATTGTCCTGAACCTTATCAACTGCCTTATAGACTATTACAGAAATTTATCTGAAAATAACATGAATTAACATTAATTCATCCAAGATAAATGTCTTAACTTTAAATTTTATTGATAGATCAGCCTCCTCAACATTATCAATGCTAAATAAGAATTAGACAGTGCCCATATATTTTCATCGTAATCATGATTCAGAGAAGTAGCAATACAGGATGAGTTCTTGAACCTGCCTCTACCTCAGATGATCAAGTTGATATCAGATGATCGCTTGTTGGTTCAATCTGAGGAACAAGTATTTGTTCAAAGCATTCATCCAATTTTATACCAAAATAGACACAGAAACATGTTGTTACCATGTGGCTTGATGATATCATATTGTTGTATTGGTGATAGATTTTGTTATCATTTCGTTTTAAAAATTGTAGTGTACTAATTATGTTGTGTGTTAATTGTTTTTAGAAACATTGTTTCTTAGAAGCAGTTTAATTAAGCAACTTAGAATTGAACTCATAGAATTTTTGTGAATATGACTTCTATAGATTTTTGAGAATATGAGTTTTATAGAATTTTTGAGAATATGACTGCCATAAATGATTCAAAATTGAATGGTAATTTATGTTGTTTTTTAAGCCCATTTTATTTTAGACTGTTTTTTTTACAATCAAAAAATTATTTTACTGATGAGAAACCAGTGTAGTTGCCAAAAATAACTTCAACCTAGTTTTTCTCTTGTTACAACATTAATTCAAATTTTTGTTGTTGAGGTGTACGAAGCAGTCATATCATGGACAATGTACGACTTTTCCAACAGGCAAAAACATATTGATCAATTGATCGAATACATCAGGCTAGTTTGAACAAATTTCTATCAGTGCAATCAGTTTTTTTCAATATTGTCGTCATTTTAATTTCAAGCCATAAGTACTGTTTTATACTTGTTTGATAATTGTTTGATCTCAAATGTTCCATATCGTTTTTGAAAAGTTTTGAAGAATAATATTAATTTATTGCTTTCAATTGTATTTTTATTTAAATTTTTGAATTTGTTTGATTTTTTGAAAACCCAGAGTATAAACATAGAGACTTGAGATTGTTCCTAAAGAAGCTTGAGTGTGAATAGATAGATAAGTTAGCTTTTTTTGTCACAGCAAATGAAAACAATGGTAATTCTAAACAGAATGAATTTGGATTCAAGTTATAAATGTTGCAAATGTTGAATAAAAGAAGAAGATGAATATAACAAGACCATAATGTTTGATGGTTTTGACTATCTTTTTATTTATTGAATATATCGAGGTCATCGTATTTTCTTAGATTGGAAGAAATTTGCATGACACAACTTAGCCTTTATATGGCGAGTGTTTCATGAAAAAAATGAATTAATCCATTATTAGTCAATACGCTTGAATAATAATAAAACATTTAGGTTTAAACTTGAAAATTAACGTTTTTTCGTTAACCAGACTGCCGTTGTTGTCTCAAGATTTCTTGGTACAAAGAGTGGAGGATGAACCGTTGATAAAAAATTGTTCAAGGTGCAAAGATTTCCTAATAGAAGCAATGAAGTACCATCTGTTAAAACCTGAGCAGAAACTTTTGTATATCACGCCCAGAACAAAACCCCGGTCCCCTGCTGGTCTTCCAAAAGTCATCGTCACAAGTTTTTTCATCATTTTTAAATACCCATTAATCTTGCTCTGATATCATTGTTCATAAACGATGCATTATTTATTTTGATTAAGAAAGCAATTTAGATAATATCATAATGCAACAAATATTTTAAAACATTTAGATAAGTTATCGTGAATAACACTATGATAAGATTAATATTTGAATCAAATTAACGCGTTGCCAATTACTCTAGTAATTTACTTCCAGATGATGTTAGTGATTGGAGGACAAGCACCTAAAGCCATAAAGAGCGTTGAATGTTATGATTTTAAGGAGAACAAGTGGCACCAGGTGTCTGACATGCCTTCAAGGAGATGTAGATGTGGTTAGCTTATGAATTTTTGTTTAATTATTAGTAATTGTTATTTATATTCTGTTTAAAATTATTATAAGAAATTTTTTAAACCCAAAGGTGTAGCAGTGCTTGGCGGCCTTGTGTATGCAATAGGAGGCTTCAATGGTTCGTTGCGGGTTCGAACAGTTGATGTCTACGAGCCCATCAAGGACGTGTGGACCCCTCTGATCAGCATGGAAGCTCGAAGGTCCACCCTGGGTGCTGCCGTGCTCAATGGCTTGATATATGCTGTTGGAGGATTTGATGGCTCCTCAGGTTTTCTGTCCTCTCCTACTTTTCATCTCATTATTTTCAAAGTTCCGTTTTTTGTCTGCTTGAGAATGTTTTGGCTTTATATTCAGATAAATTTTGAATAATTTATAATATATATGTACTTGTTATTGGTTGCGTTTGTGGGTAAAAAGTCATTTTAATGAAAATAACATAATAAATCTGGTATATGAAAAGTTTAAAAAGTACTAAGTAAGTGGTGCAATGTGATGAATTGATATGCGGCTGTTGGTTACTATATTTTATTGTAAGATGAACTTCTAAATTTGTAGTTCAAAAGAAAGCTATACACAGAAGATAGGATATATGCGCTTGAATACTTGTGTACGCTGTATACATATGTATTTTATTAATTTACTTCTTCAATATATTTTAAAATCATGTTGCAATGGCATCCCTTTTTTTACTCTCTAAACTTTAATTTTGTAAATTGTAAAACTCACTAATATCAAATTATTTCTAAAATATTTATTATAAATAAATAAATATATATATGTATATATATATATATGTATATATTATTATTATTAGATTATATATATATATATATATATATATATATATATATATATATAATTACTCATAACAACAGTAATTAATTTGTCCAGCAAAGAATAATTATGCTTTTGAATGTTTGTTTCGTTGGTGCAGATGTAAATTGTGCTTTTTGCATTTCCTATGTTTGCACAACTCCAGGTTTGAGCAGTGCTGAATGTTTTGATCCTCGAACAAATGAATGGCGCTACATAGCCAGCATGAGTCTCAGGAGAAGTAGTGTCGGCGTTGGTGTGCTTGGAGGTTGGTGTAGTGTGGTGGTGTCTGGTTGCTTGGAGGTTGGTGTGGTGGTGTCTGGTTGCTTGGAGGTTGGTGTGGTGGTGTCTGGTTGCTTGGAGGTTGGTGTGGTGGTGTCTGGTTGCTTGGAGGTTGGTCTGGTGGTGTCTGGTTGCTTGGAGGTTGGTCTGGTGGTGCTGGCTTGATTGTTAGATCTTATGACAAATTCGCTGATTGTGGTTTTTTGTACATCCTGTTAAGTAAAATCCAGTAGATGATATGATTTGTGTGTCATTTATTAGAAAATGTAATCTAGATATAATTTTGATGTCTAGCGTTGATTAGGAATTTATTACAGTCAACAAGCATTAGCGAAGAAAACCTGATCAAACATACCTAGGTTTGTTGTTTGCTGTTGGTGGTTATGATGGAGCCAGTCGACATTGTTTGAGTAGTGTGGAGGCTTACTCTGCCACTGGAGACAAGTGGTTGCCTGTGCCAGACATGACGTGCAGACGGAGTGGAGCAGGTTCATCTAGCTGTTCATTTTGATCCACTATTCTACCTCATATTTTTCAATAAATTTTTACTTTTGCAATGTTCCTTTTAATTTATTCAGAAACATTTTGTATTAGAATTTGAATGTGCTCCAACATGCCTGGCAGGTGTTGGTACGATGGATGGATTGTTGTATGCAGTGGGAGGACATGATGGTCCTTTCGTGAGGAAGAGTGTAGAATGTTACAACCCTGAAACAAAATGCTGGAGCCTGGTAGCCAGCATGCACATGTGTCGAAGGAATGCAGGTCTATTTATTATTGTAACATCAACTTCACCAATGCACAGTGCAACCACTTGCATGACATTCAGTATATAAAAATATGTAGGTGTGGTGACGTACAACAATATGTTATACGTCGTTGGAGGTGACGATGGGATGAGCAATTTGTCGTCTGTTGAATGCTACTGTCCCAAATCTGATGCTTGGACATTGCTTCCACACACCATGCATCTTGGTCGAAGTTATGCGGGAGTCTGCATCATAGACAGGCCGATGTGATGTATCATCAGTCAGTGATTCGGTCCAGTGGGTCAGTTTACCTGCATTCTAGGAACTTGAATGTCTTTGTTAAGAAAAATCGTGAAAGCTCTTCAAATTTTCAAAGTTTTCCAACGCGTTGGCATTTTTCACTATTCATGAATTTTTAAATTATTTCAGTTTAAGATTTCAGCAAGGTTATTTTTTTGCATTCAAAACGTCAATATGACTCAACGACATTTTTATATAGATCTTCCAACTCAACATTTATGCGCTGTGTACAAATTTTTGAAACGAATGAATTAATTAATTTTTAAGCATTTTTTTTATTTTATTTTTCATTTGAACTGCGAGAACATTTTAAAATTATCCTCGACCACTGCTGAATTTGAAATAACGTAACTGATGTTAGTTATCGTCATTTTATGAGGGTGAATGTATGAAAGGTAATTTAATGACGTCATCTATCTTATCCATGTACCCAATCAAGTTGGCTGCTGATGATCACGTGATGATTCTTCATTCCATGTCACCTCTCTTGATTTGTTTGGAAAAATTCAGTGTTTTTAAACTAGGTCGCATCATGTATTTGTTAACTTGTTAATATCATTATTATATCATATGATTTATTTGTTTAACTCACCGATTTTTTAATTTGATCATGAGTTGTCGTTAAGCGTTATATTTTCTTTAAGCTTGAGATGTGGCAATAGAAACGCACGCAGATTAATTGTTGGTACCTCTAGAAACGCGTAAAAGCTTAATTAGCTGTCTCATATTTAAGTCTACCTTTAAATGCCTGCATCAAACTGGTCTCTATCAAGTTTCAACAACAGTGGTCACTCACTCACAGCAGGTGGCCGATTGCCCACGAACTTGCAAATAAAAACTTCCCAAATCATTTTGTACGTGGTTTTTCATTCAGTTTTTTTTATAACAGTTAGTGTTTCTAATGAATTTCTTATATACCGATGTCATTTCATTTGTCATTATAATTGTTTGTCTATTTGTCAATTTTCAGCTATTTTACCAAGCAGCTCTGTTGAACATGCCAAAAATTAATTAAAACTATAATAAAAAAATTTTTTATGTGATTGATTGCAGTTAATCGGCTGTATTTTCGTGTGTAGCCATAGTTGTAAAATGTTGAGTTAATTTCTGTGACTTAAGTTTGAGTGTCGACACCAACCAATCACATACTACGATATGTACGTATACATGTGAGTTATTCAGAATTATGCGCAACGAACTTTTATATGCTTCTCATAAATACTTACGACCGACCGACTAAATTTATTTTAATATTTGTAATATTGTAATGTGTAATATTTTTTATTTGTTTGGACTTCTTTATTAATTGTTATTTGTATGTACATAGCATTATGCATCGAATATGTTGAACTTTTAATGTTTGTTCACTTAATGTGAATTGTTTTATTTTATTATTTGTATATATGATACAGATGCCACTTAAATTATTCATTTGTATTTTAAAGATTGTTAATTATCAGCAACAACGTTTTTTTACAATGTCTGTTATTAGTTATTTTTACCATACAAAGCAGTTTTTGGTTTTGTTGTGATTTTAAATTTTTGTTTGAAGACTCCTTCAATAAATGTGAACATACATTTTTAACCGTGTTTAATAATCCTTTTCGTCTCGTCTACCATTATGTTAACGACACATTTCTTTTTACAAATCACAAACTACATAGCTTAAGGTAATATAAATTTATATTACGAAGTATTCGTTGGCTTCAAAATATTTCGTATAGTATTGAAACAGCAAAATTACTGTTAGACCACATTTTAAAGTTATTATGACATGATGAAAGATGTTTTCCATTCATAAGACTGTTCCTGTTCATTGCAGTCTGAAATTGTCATTATTCAGCTTATCAAATCTGGTCCCCATTGGACGAATTCGTCCTGTTGTTGTTGCTGTCTCAGACTGAGCATTCGTCGGCTGTTGACTTTACTAAGGAAACAATCCGATTGTCCATCGTACAGTTTGTCCGCTTGAATAACCTTAGTCTGAACAACTCATTCCGCGGGCTTGTTCTTTAACACTGTATCGCATTGCGCTGAGGATTCGTTAAGCACAAAAGTTGAGCAGTTTTCAGAAGTATCTTCTGTGCTACATTTAGGCACTTGAAAGACTAACAATTGATTGACAAGCTCTCCAGCCTAATCTGCTTGTTTCCTGCGTACTTCAGGCTTATCTATACATTTATAGAGGGCAAATACCGCTGCCACCTTTGACAAATTGATGATGGCTGTCCTGGCTACCTGATATCTCGTCCACAGTAAAACAAATTATCTAATCAATTTTAGATAAAAATAAGTATACAAGTAAATGGAAGTACAAAAAAGCAAATTGTCTAGTCTACATGACATGCAACCATAAAACAAAAAGTTATATGCACCGACCGCTGACCATGTAATTTTTGGGAGTGCATTCATCTTACTGATACAGACCAGTTCAAGGACTTAGAAAACTTTTTGTACGTTTAACCAAATTTACGAAACAAATTCGATTTTTTAATCATTAAAACATTCAAGGGAGGCTAAAACTGAATAATTTGTTCATGAATGATCGTATACAATTTGGAGAGAACCGGTAATAAGGTCGCTTCTGTCGAACGATATCACATAAAACCAGCCAATTATTGTTCCTTAAATAATCTAAAACCTGTTTTGCAACATCACGATCTACATCACTGTGGAAATTTAAACATTTGTTGAGAGCGCACTGAAAATGAAGCAAACGCAAACAGGTCAACATATTTTGATATAAATCTGAACAACCCACTAAAAAGTTGACGAGTCTGCACCATATTTCGTTATATCATTACATGTAGCTGTTGAATAAGTTGGATGTGTGATGGGGAAAACTCTTCGTATAAAGCATTTAAAACAGTCTCAAATTCTAAACAACATTGGAGAAATAAACTTTTTTAGCTGTTGATGTTTTATGATGTTTACACTGTCAATGTTCCATATTAAAAAAAAACAACAATAAAACAGTAGACAACAAACAATGGCCGGGAAAATGTCTTTCAATTCACACGATCAGATGATGTTATTAAAAAAAATGCTAGCAAATGTAATCTAAAAATTGAATAACTGTTCACTGTATACAGCGTTTAAATATCTACATGACTGACATTGATCAATAAGTTACTTTATGGTTAATGAAAAAGGCAAATAAAACCAGCAAATACATTTGCTTATACGATATGCACCAATTAAAATATAAAAATTAAAGCTCAACAATTTTCTCATCTGATTCCTCCCAACATATTCAATGAATGTCATAACAAATACCGCGAGTGAATGCGCGGAATTTTGATACATTATATCCCAGAAGTCAAGAAGTTTTTGTTTGAAAGTTAACAAAAATGTTATAAACCAAAGTGGCGCGGATGTGAAACCATCATGCTGAACGTTATTATATACACTATACATAATTACATTATTAAACTAAAAAATTTGATTGGTCCAACGTGTGTGTGATCTAACGTTATAATATACCTAACGATCAAACCTATTGTAATATATAATACAATCTAGCAGGCAGACATTGCAGAAGCGAAGAATCTTATTTACCATCAATCTTAAACTATTTCTGTTAATCAATCGGTAGGCTTGCTAGTATGAACTTCACTCATTTCAATTCAGCATTCATCAAGATAAGTTGAGCAACATTTTGATCTGAGCATCTTCTTCCAGTTGATCTTCATTCAATGGTTCAACATTTGCACAGCCAGGAACAGGACATCTATGAACATGGTACATGAATATAAATATATACGCGTTGGAATCAGCACAACAATCAGTAAAACATGTGGCCTGTATCATAGTTATAACACCAATATGGTCTTATCAAGAGATGACTGCTTTATGCTAAAACAAGTTAAAATTTGTCCCATGAACCTTTCAATTGTTCAAGTGAAAACTAACCAAATTATAAATACAGATGAATTTGAAGTAAGAAAGTCGTGTGAAAAAAATGTCTCTCAAGACGAGACTATAGCTGACCTGGCTTTGTTAGCCCTCATGTTGATGAGTTGGAGCGCTCCTTTCCTATCGTACGAGTGACCGCACAATTTATTTCGAACTGGTTCTATCATGGTACTCTGTGTTATGGGACATTTCGTCTGCGGACGACCTCCCATCACCATCACATCAGCCCTCGCTTCTTCACTCAAACTCAACAACTTGTATATGAATGCGTTAGTGGTGAAGTTTATAGAAACAAAAACATTTTATGTAATTGTAATAAATAGCAGTAATATGTACAAAACATTAAAAATGAAATTTAAAAAAAATGTAATCAATTACATACATGTAGTCGGGAACAGTAAAGTACAAAATTAATTAATTAAATAATTACCTGGTCGGCAGCTGCCTTTACGTAATCAACTTCGGAGTCGGATTCGACGGGCATCACAATTTCCAGATCACATGCGTCACTTCTGGCGGAAGCATCATTCAAATTAACCATTACTACACTTGTTATATTTTTCAACAGAGCTAGAGTCTACAAATTGAGACATGCTATACACGACTTCGAATGATAAGTTGGTAAAATGAGTTAGATGATTGCATGTCATTGTTAGAACTGTGTTAGACACAAGCAAGTATTTACCAACAAACTTTAAGCCACTGATCCAACCTCATTCGTCAACTTTCAACATTTCAGGTAAAAACATGATAGATAATGGAACCACATGATAAATCATTATAAAATTAAGAAGTTTTAGGGACAATCTTTAACAGGGAATAGAAATAATAACATTAAAGAAAACTAAGAGCATTGACTTTTCAAAATATTTATCTCTCTAAAATATTTATCTTCAGATATTTTTTAACTTCAAAATATTTACTCTTTTAAATTATCTGATATAATGTGATATTTAAGGTATCTCACTCGTTACTGAAAGCATCTTCAGTTTCCTCCCCTCCATTGGTGCTGACATCATTGGTTTCGGCATCATCTTCCTCTTCCTCCTCTTCCTCCTCTGCAACATTTCTATTGCCGCTTCTCCGTTCTTCATCTTATTGAAAATATTTGTTAATAATCAAGTAGTAAAAGCACAATTTCATTCATGAAACTAAACAATTTAGCAGACCAACCAGCTCTGGAATAATTGTTGTTGTCGCAGTTGGAAGGCGAAGTTACGATTGAATAGTTGGGTTCAGAGTTGTCATCTCCATCAACCACTGACTCGTCATTTCGTGTTACTCCATGAACACTGTCGCTATCAACATCATCTAAATTTCCATTGAACGCCCTACTTGAATCATTTTTTGATTTTTTACTTCTGCTTGTGTGAATTTGTAAGCAATCACCATCTTCATAAGAAGCAGAATTCTTTGAAGTTCCAACCATTTTATTATTATCAGCTGTTTTTCTTTTCCTGCCTCTCCGTGACAATATGCCAGGCCTTCGTCGAACCTGCAGAACATTGCCTTCATTGAATTAATCCGCAAAATATAATATAAACATAACCCTCTAATGAATTAATGTACAATACTTTCCAAGTTGCATGCATACAAAAACTTGCAAGCACAAAATACATTAGATAGAATTCATTTATTTTGGAAATCTTCAAGAATCATTCATCTAACAGAAGCAGAAAAATTATTATAGAAAGAATAAAATACTTCACCAACAACGAAATAAATAATCATCTATCTGACATTGAAAGTAGGAGACATTTATAAGACATAAACAAACAATCACTTTTGATCGCACGCCACTGTCATCGTCCTCCTCATTCTCCTCATCCTCATCTCCTCCTCGAACAACCGAAGCACGAGCAGGCATGTTGTCAACGTTACTGATCTCGTCAGCTGTGTTGAAGTTGCAGCTGTGGATTTCAATGAGTTCATCATCATTGAAGCCATCATTAGGCTCCTGTTTCAGCTGCACTTCATTCAGAGTTATCCTACAAATTTTAGTTGTTTACTTATCATTCAGCGTTGGCCTAAAAAACTTAGATGCCAACTTATATTTTCCACTACAATCTTAACCTAAAACAATGCAAAATTTATTTTTTGGCACAAAATTAAAAGAAAGAGCAACTCAAATGCACCTGATAAATATTATCTCACCAATTTGAAAGTATAATAAAAAGTAAATTATAAGTTTGGCCAAGCTATGAATGTGTATATATCTTGGTGGTCAATCAATCAGCCATGCAATTATTCATTGAATAAATACCCTAAATAACAACGAAAGCTAATAATCAACCCACTCTTCAATCTGCATGGTTCCTCCACCATCATTACTATCATAAATTTTATCATCATCATCCATTGCATCTCCTTCATCACTTTCATCTTGTGGTGAGCTAAATAATAATAATTACAGTATTGTTATTTTAGGCTAGAAAGAAGATGAACTTCAAGATATTTCCTCTTGGCATAATTATCAACAATACAAAAACTACGTTAATTCGAAAATGATACATTAAAATAATGATGTATAATGTACATTTAAGAAATGCCTCTAAAGATAATGACGATCGAGATAACAAATGTTTAAAACCAGTCCAGTGCTAAAAAGCAACCAACCATTCAAGCAATCAATCAATCAATCAATCAAATCAATCTACCAACCAATCAAACAACCAATGAATCAATCAATAGACTCTTCTCAACAACCACACTAATGCATCCCTCAGTGTGAAATAACAAAACCATGTTATTTCGCCGATTTCCATTTGAATGCACGAGCAAGTGCCTCATCGTGCACACAACTCATACATGATATTCAAGTTTTTATAGACTGTCATTAGAACTGCAACACCAACGAAAAACATATTATTCATATTATTTAGCCATACTAAATTGAAGGCCAGTCAAAACCGATCCATTTGAATTATATTCAATGTGTTGAACAACACAATTCATTAACTAGCTTTGAATAAATATCTGCAAGTGAGGTGACGATTGGTATTTCAGTCTATTTTTAAATAAGATGAGATGAAATATTTGATAAAACCTACTAAATTTTTAGCTTCTGAAAGTTTATGATTGAGCTTTTCAATATTTCTAACGGTAGTTTTATAATTATTATCCAATTTATTAAAATTAATAAAAAAATCGTTGGTGTTCATAATGAAGCGTGTAGGTCCTATTTCAGTTTTACTCATCTTCTGTGCTTATATAAAGATATTTCAAGGTTTTACAATTCTCTGTGTGTGCAAAGTGCTTTCATTCTGCTTTGTCCTGTCCGTTTATTATATCTTCGTTATGTTCATTCTCTTTACTTGTAAAGTCTTTCAATAATATTCTTCTGGTCGGTAATGATGTTGCTATTCTTTGCTGCTTGTTAGTTTGAGGTTTTCTTTGGTTGATGAAGATCGCTTCAGCAATTCTTAGGTGGCTGTGGTTCTTGTTACCGTATATTATACTAGTATTGTTTACTAATATTTCTTCTGATGGGATCGTTTGACATATGGTTTCCAGGTAAGTTCTAAGTTCTAAAAAAGACAGACTCAACATAATTTTGAAGAAACTGGCTGTGACACATTAAAATGTGATTTAACATCACATCCCTTTATATTGCCATTTATTATTATGAATCTGACTAGCAATAAAATAAAAAAATACTTCAAGAAAACAAAAACAAAAGTGAATATACTTTTATTTCAGCACTTTTGGTTTATAAGCCACCTGGCTATGCGATGTAATCAATAAATGAATAGACAAATAAATAGATATCAAACAACAAAATATAACCTTAGTGGATTGGTAATGATCGGTTCAAGTTTGACACCATTATCCCCACTGTCCTCCCCAGCACTTCCATTACAATTACGATTTAATATTTTATTATTATTCACGAGTAGAGACCTGACGTTGGCTGAAGATTTGTTTGAAACACACCTGGAATTTTGTGTTGCAGTCTGAGAAGGCTTCGCAGGAGGCTGAGGTTTTGATGGTGAAGAAAAGGATGAAAATGATTCACTACTTTCCACAAAACATTTTGAGGCTAGCAGTGCAGGCTTTATGTTACTCAACAAAGACAATGCTGATTTCTGTTGAAAAATTGTCATTATAAATATATAAACAGTTGAACTCAAATTTCAATTTTGAAAATAAATTATCTCCTAAGAAGCAAACTGTTGAATGATTTAAAAAAAAAACAAAAAACTTTGAATTACACATTTTTATCGTGCATTGAAGTTCATGGCCATAAAATACTTTGAAAACACAAAAAATTGTCATTATAAATATATAAACAGTTGAATTCAAATTTCAATTTTGAAAATAAATTATCTCCTAAGAAGCAAACTGTTGAATGATTTAAAAAAAAAAAACAAAAAACTTTGAATTACACATTTTTATCGTGCATTGAAGTTCATGGCCATAAAATACTTTGAAAACACAAAAAATTGTCATTATAAATATATAAACAGTTGAATTCAAATTTCAATTTTGAAAATAAATTATCTCCTAAGAAGCAAACTGTTGAATGATTTAAAAAAAAAAACAAAAAACTTTGAATTACACATTTTTATCGTGCATTGAAGTTCATGGCCATAAAATACTTTGAAAACACAAAAAATATACATCAACAAATTATTATCTATTTCTATTCAGAACATACACTGACTGATTGTGTGAACAAAAAATATGGGACACATGCATTGAATGGTCACCTGACAAATTTCAGAATAAATAGTTGGGCCAAATAAGCTCGACTGGCCGAAATGCCACATAAAGTAGACCAGCTGAGAGATGTCGTGTCTGCTGAGTGCAGGTGTGAAGATGGCGATGAGGCAGGAATCACAGAATCCTTCGGCTGCATCTGGAGAGGTGTCGATAACACTGATCATTTGCTTGAAGCTTCGTATGCAGTTTGGAAGAAGGAAGAGAAAGATGGTATGCTTCCGTTGGCTGCCCAGGTAGGCACAACATTTTATGATGTCCTCTGGTTTGATCTGGAATTGGATCAGGTCCTTAACTGAATAGATGCGTGTCGTCTTGCCACCACTTCCTTTCTTTACTAGAAACAAATTTTGACTGCTTTGTACATATAAATAATGCTTTATTAATCATACAAATTGAATTCAATGGAATATTTGCTAATTTAAATTTTAAAAACGAATTGAAAACAAACGGTCTTATATTGAAACATCAATATTAAAACGATACCATCAATGAAAATTGATTTGATATAAAAACTAAATTTGATAGACATTTGAAATCTTCATTAAAGAGATAAAAAATGTATTAGACTAACAGAAATTGTTTTGGCAGGTGATGAGCAGGCCTCGATCATTGACAGCGATTGGTCGAACAGGAGTAGTTCGTGCACTACCAAACCAAACGTTTGTGGCATTAATAACGAGTGAAAGTTCATCACTGGTGCTGCTGCTTGAAGTTGCTTCAGTTACTTTCTCGTTAGATTTATTGTTGATGTTTTTGTTGATGATGCTACTGAAATGATTGCTAGGATTGACTGTCACGTTATTATTGCCATTCGGCTGCAAAATAATAAAAGGTTCACTGTTGTTAGTTTTGAGTCCTTTGGGTACAAGAACAACTTGCTTCCTTTGAAGTATGCTGCCTGTTGAAGTGGACACTGTGCTCGAAGCAGTGACCACCGCAGGTCCAACTTTTGACGACCTACTGGGCAGACGAACTGTGTATATTGGTTTTGTAACTGCAAGGCTATTCATTGAAAAGGTTGTGCTCGAATTGCTGGAGATAACTTTTTTGAGGACAATTTGTTGTGCCTTGCATGACGTGAGTTTGTTGGGGATGGCGTTGTTGGCCGGGTACTTGACCAACAATGACGAAGGACTGTTAGGCTGTTTATACATTCATTGTTATTACTATTATTATTATTATTATATCAAATTTATTGTGAATTCTGAATGCACTTGTTAAAAATTAATATGCAATCTTTTATATTTGCTTTGCCTTCAAATTGCATTTGCATTGAATTCACACCATATTTATATTATATATTTCTTTATATATTTATTTATATATTTATTAGAATGGTTCAAACATGGCTGAAAGGAAAAAAAAAATCCTATAATGAAGTGCAGATAGAACCAATGCAATAGTTAGTTTTAAATAATCTAAATTAATTGTAAAAAGTGGAAGTAGTTACTAGAGATGAGGAAGACGACGACGATGTGAGTAGAGATGTGCTGGATGGCGATGGAATGATGAAAGGCACGCCAAGAACACTTCGGTTTTCAGCTTCTATGGCATCGATCCTCTCAGAAATCGTTTTTGGAAATGTGAAACGGTTGAAAGTTTTGTTCATTCCACTTCAAAGTTTTCAGTTGAATCAATTTAATTAAAAATTACGATGCATGAATAACTGAAGTTCATTTTAAAACAAACGAATACAAAACTAAAAATTATAAAAAAATAAAAGTATTTGGGTTGTGTCATTGTCAAATCAGCTACTGAAATCAAAGTTATTGCAGTTATAATAAGTGCTTCCAATGAAATATAAATGTAGCATTTCAATAGCAAGTCTGACAGAACCATAAAGAAGTGAGTGCACCATTGAAAAGTAGCAGGCAGAAGATGTTACTGCGAAGGAGGCAGAAAGACCTCAATGAAAGGGAAGAAAATAACACAGAGTTATGAACAGAATGTACTTCTTACAATTACGATTTCTTGTAACTAAGACTATACAGAGTAGATAATAAACTGAAATGAAAGATGACAAAAGAGTCCTTTTTCAATGTATTCGTGTTGAGTATGTTGTCATTCAGATGAATAACATTAGTAAACAATAAAACAGTTAAAGGAACAAACGTTAACACATTGTAATTTCTAAGCACATACTAAAGTTGTTTGATCTTTCCCATTTCCTCTTCAAATTTTAATTTGGCCTTCTGTAAGTTGCTGTGCATCTGATGGTTCAAAAATATATAGGCATACATTACAAACAATCAAATATAATAAACAATATGTGAGCTGCAAAAATATATTCATCAATATTTACTGTTTAGTTTATAGGGTAACCAACGAATTCTGGAATTCTGCATGTCTTACTCTCAAGTTACCTTATGATCAGATATAGAATATGTTGGCATCAAAAAGTTTGAAATGAAAAGTAATGTTATTGAAAGCAAGGAAATGTACAATGACCAAAATTTAAAACAATTAAAACTTCTTACAAAAAAAATATAGATGAAATAAGAAATAAATTTATACCGGAGATTTATCTTCAAAAATGAGAAAATAATTGTTGAACATAAGGTTGACATCCTCGATGAATGTATTAATAGATGAATAGCAGCCATTATGAAACTTCAGTTGGATCTTTGACAGGTCCACTGGATCGGCTACCATCGTGTAGTATTCCTGGAAACATGGAACATTCACATCATTTTAACACATATAACTAACAAGTCCACAATAACTTCAACTTACAAAAACAAATTCTGCTTGATTCTAAACAAGCATCTTTAAAAATTTTGTTAATAAGTAAAGATGGTGACGACAATTTGATTGAACAGTAATTGAAACGAAAACATAACATCAAATACCATATTCATTAAAATATTAGACACCATTAAACAACAAACAAACAAAGAACACCAAAGTAAATAAGATGAACAATTTTTACTGGATGTTTGATGGCGTCGACAGGCTGCATGAGCACACTGATCTCATCATTCTTCGACATCTCCTTAAGAACATTGTAGGCCATGGGACACCATTCTCTCCCTCGTCCTCCAATGCACACCCGACGGTTTGGAACTGTCTGCTGGCCAGTTGTTAAACATCGAGAATGAAGTTGTTATAAAGAAGCAAATTTAATCAGTAGAATGTTCTTCACTAATCAAAAGTACAAGTTAACAAGACGACATTAACAGTAAAAGTTATAATAACAAATAAAAACGATTACAGATTAAGAAAGAATAGAAATGATTTTTAAAACAAAAAAAAACAAAATTTATTTTAAAAATAACTAATAATGAAAAAGATCAGCATAGAACAACTAAAGTAACAATATAACAGAAAAACCATAATCAATGCATATATATATATATATAATATATATATGTATATATGTATGTATGTAAATTTATATACACATTCTCACCTTTTTTTAATTATTTTTCATCTTATAAAATGATTTTTTTTCAACCCAATTCCCATAAAAATTTTTCTATTTATATTTCAAATTAGCTTTAATCACTAAGTCTATTATTAATTATGGCTTCAAACAGAATACTAATGGTAAGGTTTCACTTCCATTCCCCTCCTTATGATAATAAGGTCAATTAAAAGGTTAATTACACAGAGGATTCAACAAAGCGCACAAACATCATATATGAATATGTGTCATATTCAAACTCGGTTATTGCAAAACAGCACCAGGCGACCTTAACCATTAGACCATCACGCCACCCTATAGAATGTAGTAAGGGTTGGTCTTGTTACAAAATGTGTTTATATACTTATTATAAGTGCATATTGCATACATATACTATGTTCATTTAATTTTTATAACATGTACTGGACTCATATACCCTATTTCAAACTTGACCCCATTTTAATGAATGATGTTAATGAAGTCTGTCCACACAAACACTGACTAGTTTTGAATGGGCAAAGTCTTGTGAAAATTGAAGCTGAGGTACATTCAGTGTCTTCCCTCTGTAGCCAGTTTTCATTGGAACTACGTAATCACTGGTCATTTTTCTACTAGCATTTGATCTTTGATGAAAATGTTGAAAGAAAAGTTAAGATTTTTTGTTTTATCAAATGTGTAACAGCAAAACTGATTTGTTGTGGATAATCTGAAAAAATATTTTAAAATTTTAATAATTACAAAAAAATATAATGATGGAAAAATTTATGGATAACATTATTAAAGTCGTTAAAGATTAAAATTTAAAAAATACTAAAAATATTGAAATAATTTAAAATTTAATTTATAATATATATATAACATATTTAATTGGCAATTAATAAAAAAATAAAAATGTTTAATTTAAAATTGATAATTTAATTAATATTATTAATTATAAATAAATTTAATAAAATTTAATATTATTTATTAAAATTTAATAACCTCTTGCTGGTATAAAAAAATTCATAACAAAAACTGCTTAGTCTACTTGATAAATAATAAAAAACAATATAGAAAGAAGAGGCAGACGATGAACGAACTTGAACAATGAAGTTAAAGGCTACCTGCCTCACTCTCCGTAACTAAGCAGTGGCGGCCATCTTCCTATTAAAAATGATGTAAACGTAAACACAGTTGAATAAACAAACAAAACAACTCCCGAGCGTTCATCAAACACAAGATTTAATAAATTTAAACGTTATAATAATTTGTATCACTTGAAAAGTTAAATAGTTGTTAAGATTGAGTCTTATTTCGAATATTTTGAATCGATAAAGTCGACTGACATATTTCGACAACTTTTAATTACTGCGTGTTTGACGTCATCAGATGTTAACTACTTTAGCGCTGCATACTTTTATTATCAACAAATTTAGCACAACTTAGTGGATAACATTAATACATAATTACAATAGTAACCATTGTTTTAATTTTACACAATGACCATTAAATCATAAATATTTTTTAAGTTTATTAAACTCGTCTCGGGGTTCACCTTTGCATAAAATATTATCTAAATGTGGTGATAAATTAACCTAAAAAAAAAACAAAAAAAAACAGAAAAAGTGTAACATCTTTTTTGGATAAGACAGTTTACAAAACATTAAAATTACTAATCTTGATCATAATTAAACCTTAATAATTGAGTTTGAACGTTAACTGAGAAGCGCTTATGTTTACGTCAATTTATTATTTTAATCTTTTGATGGCATTGAATTACACATAGAAATCAGCTAACATTGATTGGTTTATGCTCTTACAAAAACAGTGGCACACAAAAACACACAATAGGCTTATCTAAATATTTCATACGATTTTCAATTTGCATTAAATTTTCATTAGTTAAGTTAGAACGGATCAACGCAGGCAAGAAGCATACAAGAAAAAACCATGAAAAATTCGTTAAAGTTGTTATACATTTTTTTATTATACATCTAAGCTAATCCTTACCTTACCTTACCCAAAACTTAAGCAAATGATAAAGTTACGGTAAGAGCCATCATATTGGTAGATACAGCACATAAGTTTATTTTTGGTTTTATTCGCGTTATTTGGTTTTGGCTAATGTTTCTTTTTTGCAAACTGTTTATCATTCATTGACACGATCGAAAAATTCACGTTGTTGTTGTCCTTTTAGGAGAGTTACTTCAACTGCGTTTAACTTTCAATCGTTCATAGTTTTGAGGAACCTCTCATTGAGTTGCATACAAGAATTAAAACATCATATTTGATCTGACTGCAACGTGGAAACACTTGCGTTATTATTAATATATTGTCTCTTCTAGTTCTCGCCGACCATGACGTTCAAGATATTGCTGAACCAATTACAATTGACGTATGACACTAACGCTGCTCTTGCGTCCATTAAGTTTGCAATGGGAAGAATATGCTAAGGCTATGATGGTTGCTCTAGTATCAAATAGTACCAAGAGCCACCTCAAATAATTTCTAAATATTAAAATTAGAGCAACAAAATGAGACACCAAATTTTATATGAGTGGGATGTTAGTTGCACCTGCCTAACGTTATTGTGTTATGCAATCCCTGCTCAAACGCTAGTCGAGCAAGAAACAAAAAATCATAGCCTAAACAACAATGCTCTGTGCATGTAGTGCATTAAATAACTTTTGAAGTCGAGCGATATTAAGAATGAAAAAGTAATGAAAAGATAGTACGCCTTATTGTTCTGCTTATAAGAAGGCTTTAGCGCTCCTAGCGTAGCAGCAGACAACGCGCGCGCGCACACACACACACACACAATCCCACACATACATCAAGAAACAAACATGCGTATAAAACAACACCCATGCACATCAACATACAAACATACACTTAAACCCACATAAAAAAAATCACGCATCTATAGTCAAGAGGCTTAAACACTTGATTTATTGTGATATTTTCATAAAAAATCAACTCGTTTGTCAGAATGTCAGAATTTCAAATTTGGCTGTCTTACATTTTTTCGAATCAAAATTGTAATATAATTGTTTTATAAGCTCATAATGTCAATGTAAAAGTAATTATGAAGCTGGCTATATCTGATGAATCATAATATTAAAAAAGTTAGTGAACAGGACCAAAACATGCACACAAACACACACGCGCACACACACGCACACACACACACACACAAACGCATACATATTATGCCATGAATACACTACATTTAATATATATATATTATAAATTATATGTTGGTAATAGACCATAATTTTTACAATATTCTACAAATTCTACCGAATGACGCCAAACATTCGGTAGAATTTATAGAATATTGTAAAAATTATGGTCTATTACCAACATTTACTCGAAGATCTGCGACCAACCGACGCAATCTAACAATCGAACAAGATCGCGAGCAGCGACTGCTCCATCTCTCTCGAGAATTAGAAGTTAATAACTCCAAACATTCGGTAGAATTTATAGAATATTGTATATTATATATATATATATATATATATATATATATATATATATAATGTTAGATGCTTTTCCGACTCATGTGCTTAAAAAACATATAGATATTTTTATTGTTTTTCTCGCAAGCCTCGTTAATTTATGTTTGCAAGAGAGAGTATTTCCGAATAAATGTAAGCACGCAGTTATTACACCTGTCTTGAAGAAAACGAAAGATGATAAGAATGAAATGAAAAGTTACAGACCCATATCAAACACTTGCTTTTGTTTCCAAAGTTATTGAACGAGTTGTTGCCAGTCAGCTACTGAGTCATCTACACAAAAATAGCTCAATACCAGTATTTCAATCTGGATATAAACGTTATCACTCAACTGAAACAGCACTGCTGTATGTTATGTCTGAGTTGTTTAATGCTTTTGATAAACAATATGTTTCGTTGCTTACATTCTTGGACATGAGTGCTGCCTCCGATTGCGTAGACCATCAAATCCTGATGAATCGCCTACGATATGATTACGGAGTTACTGGAGTTGTAACTAATTGGTTCAATTCGTACTTGTTTGGCAGAACTCAGCAGGTATTTTTCGGAAACAAATTATCTGGTATTGAAGCAATGTCATCTGGTGTACCACAAGGCTCAGTCCTGGGACCTATTCTGTTTGTACTGTACACTGCTGAAGTATATGAAGTAATAGAATCCTTTGGATTTTCATATCATGCGTACGCTGATGACATCCAAATAATAGTTAGCAGTGAACCAGAACTGTTTAAAAGTAAAGTTGAAAATCTCATTGAATGCTTGACTAAAATAGGTACATGGATGTCAAGAAATTGTCTCAAATTGAATCAAGATAAAACTCAATTTTTACCTGTCGGTACATGGCAACAGCTTTCTAAAATTAATATTAATTCAGTCAAAATTGATAATAATGAAATACAATTCTGTGAAAATGCAACAAACCTAGGATGTATTTTTGACTCAAGACTTTCTTTCAAGGATCATTTAAAAACCATATCTAAATCATGTTCTTATCAGCTTTGCCAGTTATACCGCGTTTGAAAATCTTTGCATCAAACAACCATGCAAACACTAATTCATGCGTTTGTTTATTCACGGTTAGACTACTGCAATACCAGAGAGATCTATTGCTTTTCTTCAGTCGATACAGAATAGAGCTGCAAAAATAACCCGTTGGACGTAAAAAGTATGACCTTGTGACACACATTTTAAGAGCCCTTCATTGGCTAACAGTGAAAAAAAGAACCAACTATAAGATTTGTGTGACTATGTATAAGGCTATGAACGGGTTGTTACCAGTATATCTAGTAAATAAAATCTTAAAAAACCAGCTTCTTCAACAGGTGTAAAATTGAGATCAGACTATGCTAACTTACTGGTGGTGACAACTACTCAACTACAAACCACAACTAGAAATATTGCCGTGTCAGGACCAATTGCCTGGAACAGTCTTCCGCAATCGCTCAGAATGCCTGGACTAAAGCTTGATGATTTTAAGAGGAACTTAAAAACATATTTATTTTGACATAGAAATACTTTATCGATTTGTACTTTATTGACCTTCACTGATTTCATTTATAATAGAGGGCGTTTTCGAGAAAATTTAATTTTATAATGCGCTTAATAAATTGTTGATAATATATATATATATATATATATATATATATATATATATATATATATTATCAGAATTATGAAATAATACTGACTAAAAATACTACAAAGTCCTTCTACGCAAAATTTATTCACTCGAAAGGGGGCCTGATACATGTTAATTTACTCGATAGGGGGCTAGACGATTTTTATTTGTTTTGCAATTTAGATGACGTCACAAATTATTACAAATTATTTTAAAATTTAATTAGTAGTTTTTTTTTTTTTAATTTGACATACCTTGGAAATTTTTATGTTTAAAAACACCCGAAACAAAATCTAATTTTGCTTTGATATAGAGTTTCTTTATCTTAAGAGGGAAGAGTCCGCACTGGGTTGGCTAGTTAGGCAGCATCGAATAATCGGTGCCTATTCTGGTATCTAAGAGACTTAATTCGTGATTCTATGCTCATTGGCATAGTTACAGAAATGTCTTAAGTTCTCAAAAGTGGATTTGGTACGAGACTCTATGCTCATTGGCATAGTTTCGCACGCGTACTAAAGTCACACAATTTGTTTCCAGTGTTGTTCTGACTCTTGTTGTTTTGTGTTGGTCGTGCGAAAGCCGATCAGACTCGACGGCCCAGTGAAAACAGGCCAGGGTTGTGCGAAAGCCGACCGACTGACTGACAGGCCCAATGAAAACAGGCCTTGGATTCTGTGAAAACGAATCCGTCTCGTTCTTTTGTTTTTGTTGGATTTTATACTCATTGGCATAGTTTCGCACACAGCTTGGAATTTCCATAGGCTCCGATTTTTGTAATTTTTCTGCATTCATTTTATTTATTTCTCGGAGTTGTATCGACACCACCATCGGTCACACACGTCGCGGTTGTACGATTGAACGGCAAGAAACATATCCCAAGTTGCCCGACCCAACAAGAAGAAGTTCTAATTCCTGTATTCCAGTTTGTTCATTGACATTATTTTTTTGTTTACATTATTCTAGAGTTCATTTAGATCAATTCCTTTTCATTTACTTCCGTCGATTAATAAAATTGTTATCGAATATTTTTACGCGTTCGTGTGTTACTCAGTAAAATCATATAATTCGAAAAAGCCCAGTGCCACACAGGACTGGTCGAACTCACGATAAAAACAAAAAAATTACAAAAAAAATTATTGTCGGACCATAAAAAAAATTCCCTGAGAAAGATAGAGGAAGAGATTACCTCACCACCAGTTGCAAAATTTCCGACAATATATATATATATATATATATATATATATATATATATAATATATATATATACACACATATTGGATTAAGACTGTCAGAAAAGCAATTATTGATCAAATTCTCAGTATGTTCGGCGTTAGTTAACTTCCAATTTAACTTTTTGATTTTTTTTAACAGTTGATCGTAAATCTTTTCCAAGTTTCTTTAGTTCAAAACCAAAATTTTTGTTTATTTCATGCGTGATAGAACAGAAAAGCTTTTTCGGTATTCCTATACCATCTTCGGTGTTCAAATTGATATGTTTTGTTTGTGCCCAAATGCTCAAATATATATTTACAGAGCCTCTACTCTACTTTGTTGATTCCTTATTTGTTTAAAGTGAATACTTAGTTTTACAATCTTCAACATCGTTAAATATATTATATATATTAGACTAAGACAGTCAGAAATGCAATTATTGATGAAAATGACATTATATTCGGCGTTAGTTAACTTCCAATTTAACATTTCGATTTTTCTAACGGTTTTTTATACGTTTTTTATACACGTTAATTGGAAGTTAACTAACGCCGAACATGCTGTGATTTTCATCATAATATATATAATATATATATACATTGTTTAAATTCTACCGAATTGTTTGCATTAATCAATTTAAAGTTTGTCTTTTCAATTTTTCTAACTAGAATTTTATGAAAATTTTTAGTAAAGTGAGTTACTTAGTGAACAGGACCAAAATAACTCACTTTGCCAAAAAAATTCTAGTAAGTAAAATTGAAAAGGCAAACTTTAAATTGATTAATGCCAAAAACTGTAGAATTCATACAATACTATATAAAATATGGTCTCCTTCCAACATATATGTATGTATGTATGAATGTATGTGCGCGTGTGTGTGTTTGTTTATTTTTATTTGAACCGATGTCATTTCAGTTCCCTACTAAGCTCTTCACTGAAACGATCCCGATCTATCGTTGCAAATGATAGGCATAACAACATGGATCTATCACCCATCTTGTAAATTGTTTTTCTAGAATCGGTAGCCAATGTGGCGGACTTTCCAGCCACGTAGTTAAATGGTCTCGTTTTTCCACCAGATGACCAGTTGCGCAGCTGCATTTTTGCACGCTGAATCTTTTTAATCACACTAACACCATATATCACAGAGTTACAATAATCCAATCTAGATAATATAAACAACACACATCTAGGTTCGTGATAACATCAGTTGGGAGACACTTTCGGTTCTACAGAATAGAAACTTTCTAGCATTGAGTATTACCATACAAACTACCGAATAGTTTTTTAAAAGGGTCTTTTAGGTTTTAAAGAAAATGTATTTATGGTTAGAATGATGATGTTCAAATGACTAAACATTTGATATCATTTTTCTATCAACCTAAGGTGAGAACTTAATATAAAAACTTTTTGCCTTAAACTTGTTTTGAAATATCAACATTTTGTAGAGATTGCTTAAAATTTCAACAAACTTGCTAAGTATTAATATTGAAACTAAGATAATTTTTTTACAAAGATTATTTCAATTACCTAAATGAGATTTGTTTCATCTGAATTACAAACAAAACACGACGAATTAAATTCGAATCAATTTAATTTTTTTGTTTTTGGTCATTAAGCAGCGCCGTACAATACGCAATTAGGATAAATTGAATGAAATATACATTTTTAACTTAATTATTAAATAACTTTAACTAGTTGCTTGAAAGCATTCTATGGTATATGCCTTATTAATATAACATAGATAAATACATTCATTCATACACTTATAACACCACACAAACACATAATCACACACACGCACACACGAATTTTATACATTGAAAACTATGCATTATAGATTACAACTACGTGTATGAAATAAAATGAATGAAAATAGTTTAAATAGCAAAATGATTCTATTGTTTGTCTTGATGTCATAATGATTTAGTTAGACAACACACTTTGATCGTGCTTTTGGTAGAGAACACACCGAGCAAGAAATTACATTTTAATTCTTTGAAATAAATAGTTTCAATTTGATATGCTTAAATTATTTTCAAAGATTATATAAGCCTTCTAAATTTGCTATATGAGAATTGAGAAATAAAATGAGATTGTTACCGAATTTATTTTAGTATATAAATTTGACTAAAAATTTAATTAGTCTAAAGCATTAAAAGTTTAAATAATCAAACTTAAACGTTAAAGCAATAAAAACAATTGGAAAAATGTTGTTTGGAGCGCCATCTACGAGTCAAATTATGAACCCATCCGAATATCTCCTGCAGCTCCTCAAGGACAAACAGCAGCTCACCTCCTTTCCTAATTCTTTCGTTCACATTGGAAGACTTCTAGACTCAGGTTCATTACAAGCCTTTGGAATTAAATATATTCGAGTTTTTTTATTTTTACTTCAATTTTTATTCTTTTTACTTAATTTTTTCTCATTTAATATTTTTGCTTCAACTTTTCGAGTTTTTTATTTAACTTAATTGTTTGTTATTTGTCATTAATTTTGTTGCTGTAAATTTTAATTTGCTGATGAATAAAAGTTGCTGATCACTAGTTTCAATTTTTTATAGCATTGTAAATTGTAATTTTACCATTGATTTCTTCGAGCTCAACATTAGTACGATTATGCAATATAGGTTGAAAAACACTGTTAAAAGTCTCTTATTTTAACTGTTTTGAATGAAGTTTCTTGAATAACATTGTAAATAATGATTATTTTGACTTTTGCACACAAAAAACAAATTTTCAGAAATAAGCCGCGTGCGCAGTAACTTGTTCTACTTGGGCTTGAACAAGGAACCCCTACAACTGCCGGAACCATCGGGCTCCCCTGTCACCCTTACCGAAAAGCTCTCTGTGCCTGTCAGAGATCACCCGGATGTTAGTTTCTGATTCCTTCTTTCATTTCCTCCTTGAGGCATGAACATTTAAACGAATAACTAAAAAGTAATATTAAACGCAAAATATTAGTTTCATTTCGTCTTGTTTGTAGTTCAACTTCGTCGGTCGATTGTTGGGACCTCGAGGGCTAACCATCAAACAACTGGAACTGGACACTGGATGCAGAATTCTCATCAGAGGTCAAGGGTCAATGAGAGATAAGCATAAGGTTGGTGAGAGTTGATCAGATGTGTTGATTGATTGTGCTTACTGAAAGTCTAAATAATAACTGAGAGGATGTTGAAATAATTAAATCAACAGTTTGATATCCTGTCGCTTTGGTGCATGATTTCAATTCCCAGGGACGATACGCTTGATTTTAAAACGGCGAATTTTCAAGCACCCTGCTGCTTTACATTTAATTAAAGAACTGCTTCTATCTGGCATATGTTTCTTTTGTTTGCACACGTGTCATGTAAATAAATATCGCAATAGTATGTTCCTTATTTTTTTAAGTTTAACCTTACTACAATTATTCTACATAATATTAAAAAGTGCTGACGGTGGGGTGTTGACGAAAGACATAAAAACACCTACAATTAAGTTTTCAAATGCAATGCATCACAAAAATAACAATGATAAACAGTTGCAAACAGTTAAATTGAAATTTATTTACTCTAATTTTGTTCATTATCTATCTTATAAACCAATTTAAATTTGGTTTTGTTAAACAAAGAACCATTCTTGCGTGTAATATTCAAATTGGCCAATAATGAAACTACTGTTTAAATTATTTGCAACCATCTTTTGATTAAAACTGAAACCCGAACAAATTCTGACATGTGCTGCGTTAAGGATGTTGTTGTTAAGAAAGAAACGTAGGTTCTGAAATGAAATCTTTGCAGACTTTTGAGTTCGTGTGAAGTCCTGAGAGATGGGTGAGTACGAAATTTTTGTTCTTTGTTTACGAGCTCCTACAGCAACATTCCAGGAACTTATTAGCAGGCAATACAGCGGGAAAAAAATTAAAAAATTTCGTCGGTCGATTGTTGCAATACAGCGGAAAAAAAATTAAAAAATTCAGTTTTTTTGAACTCAACTTGAACCTCTGCAATTAAATAGCTTTAGATTTACAAGTTTTAATTAAAGTTATAAAACTATGTCCTTGATACATAGATACTTGATACATAGATACATACATAGATACATACATACATAGATACATACATACATAGATACATGGTACATAGATACATATATACATGGTACATAGATACATACATACATAGATAATTACTTGGCACATCGATAACTGAGTTTGTTGTCATCTTCGAAAAATCTATAACAATTTGTTTACCCTTAACGTGTTCAACTCGGTTTTCTTCAAACTAGTGTACAATCATCCGACACAAACTTTTGAGCCTCACTACGTCGCTTATAATATTTTTGAGACATTTTTTTTTATTTGAAAGAACGATCTGAAAAATTTTTAACAGGAGGAGCAGATGAAAGGAAAAGCAAAGTGGGAACACTTGAACGAAGATTTGCATGTTCTGGTGACAGCAGAGGATGCGAAGAATAGGGCAGCTGTGAGGTTGAGAAAGGCAGTTGATGAAGTTAAGAAGCTTCTCATGCCGATTGTGAGTTGCTCATGTCTTGCTCTGTTCTTTGAGGCACTTTAATATTCTCTAATGTTCTCTGATGTTTTGTTTGCTATGTGTTAATATTTTGATATCCTTATTTGTCACATTTGTTATATAGTTATCTTTTATGTTGTTACTTGTTGCGTGTTGTGTTCTTTTTTTATCATTAAACTGCCAATAACATTTCCCTCGATAATTATCGTTAAATGATTCAAACTTATCTCTTTAATAATTTCTCAAGTAAGACAACGCTAAATAGGTTACAACATAAAACGAACTGTATAAACGGCAAATAAAATGAACATAATTGATTAAGAAAGTTAGGCTTGCGATTTGAGTATAAAGTGACAACAAGCAAACTTCTCACAAATAAGTTAATGACTCTTGGAAAGAAAACAAAATTTAACTAATCAGTTTATCAAACAAGCGAATGATGATTGCTATGATAGACTACATTCAAATGCCAACCAACAAATGTCTAGCAAAATTTTTCATACTGCTTTAGGTCAATTTAATTTAAATAAATATAATAAGTAGCTGCAATTGTCCTCAACCAATGATTGAGTGCATGCCTATAATGACCGGATTCAAAACCATGCCTAATCTAAAACTCAAGACTTGAAGTAGGCATGGTTGAGGTGCGTTGTAATGGGTGTACTTTTTAATGTTTATGTATGTTGTGTGAAAAAGATAACCATCTTACGTGTTGCCTCTTATTATATATATATTATTCATAATATTATTTATACAAATATCAATATATTAATATATTAATATATATCTAATTGGTATATAACTAATTAGAATTACTATTGAAATAGGAAAAATCCCAAGTCGTAACCGAATAAAAATTCAAACTGTATCATGTCATATTTAAATGACGTTTGTGTCTTAATCATCCTCTAACGTTTTTAAATCATTATTTACAATGAACATTTAAAAATTAAACATTCATATGGTTAGCTGCAATATAAGTAGTGTTTAAAAAAGTATGACAGATTGCTGCTTGCATTACAAAAATGAAATCTTCTCAAATCTTTGCCTGCTGTAGCGAAAAATAATGAACAACGATTTTTTCAACTTTTAGTGAATTTTTTACTCCTCTTACATCTAACTCCTCATCGCCAAACCTCTGTTACAAAAATGAAATTAAATTAAAATGACAAAATGTCTATCATTACACAGACGCCAATTTTTTTAAGGCAACACGCTGATTTTAAAATAAACACACACTTTAAGTACAATCGTACCGCGTCGGAATTGTCCTTTCATTAATAAATCTAAGTCGTAGACGAAAATATGAACAAAAAAATTTAATCGCTATTTCATAAGTCACAGAAACTTATTTATGTACATCAATATGAAAACATGCTTTTTTAGGAGTAGGGCGTACAAATGTATCAGGTTAAACTGATTCCTTCAATGATTCATCGTGATGCAGGAATTGAAATAAAATAAGGGGAGTTCTCTTGAACTGTTAGGCTGGTACTAGCTGACATAACTTTAAACTACACAACACTAATGTAGTGTTGCCATTATTGGCAAAACGTACCACCACCACGACTACCACCATCACCATCATCAAAAACAATCTGACATCACCACCATAAACGATAACAACAATGTTATAGATTATCATCATCATCACTTCAAATGTCATTACCATAGTCTTCATCACCAAAAATATAAATAAAAAATATGGTTATATATATATATATATATATATATATATATATGTATATATATGTATATATATATATATGTATGTGTACAATACTGATAAGAAAGCTAAGATCAGAAATAAGTAGAACAATAACGACATTGATTTAGTAAATCTTTATAAACACGCACACACACACACATACACATACACACACACACACACACACACACACACATATATATATATATATATTTATATATTTATTTATTTATTTATATTTATATGCATACATACATATGCATATACGTACTACAATCTACCTGTGTATAGGACACGCACACATTCATACGTTGTCACCCACCGCAAATATTCACCATAGCATACAATACGATACGATACGATACAATATAATACAATACAATACAATGTGATACGGTATAATACAAAAAAAATATAATACCATACCATACAATACAATACAACACGATGAATATCATTCTACTATAGTTAATGCACATTTTAAAATATACGTTCATTTCAACAACTGCAACGATGAACGTGCATATTCGAAATGTTTCTTCTTATTTAACAACTCCACTGGTTTTTTCTTGTATTAATTTATTTCACTGGCGTTATCTTTCAACATATAATAAACACCACTTGGGATTGAAATAAAAAACATACATTTGACCATGTCATTTGCTGAAATAAGAAGTTCTTGAATTTTATCAAAATTGCGAACTGGCACATACCAAAATGTTTTAAAAGTGAACTGGCGAAGAAGTTGGTTGCAGTGAATATGTTACAGCTTAATATTTTTAAAACATTTTCAACGTGCATATTTGTCGAATCCAAGTAACTTCTGCCTGCTTATTCAGAGCATGTTTGTTCTGCTGGCCGTCACTTCTATACCATTGTATGTAGCAATGCATTGAACGAACAGCCAGTAGGCACATACGTTTATTTATAACATCATCCCAGAGTTACAGGCAGTGAAACAAGCGATTCGCCAGGTTTCGCACTGTTTCTCGATTACTCAACCCTTATATTCAATTATTACATATTTTTCAAAATTAAAAAAAACACTTGAACAAACAAACAAAAACTTATTTGACCAACTTGTTCTTATAGACAAACAAGCATACACACATACATAAACAGAAACATGCATATTTGTTCATACACACACACACACTTATATACACACACATGTACCTATAGATAAATAAATATATGTATAAACGACTTATATTGTAGAGAGTATTTAATAATGCGCGTATTATTCTTTATGCTGAATGCTGAAAATTCTATCTATCCATTTATTAAGCCGATATATGGCAGGTTGACATTGTATTTTATTTACGAGCAAGAAAGCATGGCTTTAACGTTCTAAAATACTCAACTGCATTTCATGCAAGAAATCAGTAAACAACACACAATGCTGCCTGCCTGTATGCATGAATGTATGCATGTTCGATTGTTTGTTTGTTTGTTTGTTGTGTGTTCTGTCATTTGTGAACATGTTTGAAGAATTGCAAACTGTCATGTCTGTATGAACTTCACATTAAAACCATTAAAAATATACTTATTGTCTCTCATTTGAATGATATATCTGTATTAAATATCAAATCGAGGATTTCAAAGTTTTAACTTTTTAGTAGAAGTAAACACTTGTTCGATGCTAACGATTGCAATTACGTGAATGATTGTTTGATGTTGATTCCTCACTAGCCGGAAAGTGAAGATGAGCTGAAGAAACGACAGCTAACCGAGCTGGCAGTCTTGAACGGCACGTACAAGGGCTTCAATGGCGGCATCCTGCTGACAAAAAGTAGAGGTCCGTCCAACGCATTCACTACAATTCTGTTGCATTTTTTTCTATTCGTCGGCATGTTGTCAGAAATAGATTAGACGAGCCAGTATTGAAAATATATTAAAAAACAAGTGATGGGCATAGTTTAACTAAATTGTTCATCGATTTTTTGTAGTTTTCTGCATAGTTTAACAAAAAAATAGTTTGGTTAAAAAGATAGTTTAGCTATAATATTTTAGTTGCGAACTAATTATAAGTTTAACTAAATTAAAGTTTAACGATAGTTTAACTTAAAAATTTTAGTTAGCTCTTTTTTGCCAAGTCACGACTTCTGGTTTTTAAATATGAGATTTAAACCTAAAAAGTGCAACATAATTAAAGTTTTTTACATTTTTAAAGCCAAGTACATTTAAACAAGCTAGTGTTCCTTTAGTCTACAATTAAGTAATTGTACCGTAGAAGTTAAACTGACAGCATTTAAAAATCAGAATGTTACTAAATTTACTGTAGAAAAATTGAATAATATTTTTTTAAAATCATATAATTAATTTTAAAATAAAACAGCCTAACAAGGTTTGTTATTCAAATTGGTTTGTTAGTTCAACTCTTTATTATTCGAAGAGTGTTTTAAACTAAACTGGGCCACTAAAAATAACTGACTTTTACGAACGTTAATGGTTAGAAAGGCTTTATTTTTCGACTTTCCTTGGTATTTAAGTTTATTTCTGAGAGCTATTTAAAAAAATAAATAGGGAAGACATGGCTTCAATGGCAAGTGATGCTACAGCATTAATGTTGCATCAAATTCTGCCTGTCAAGAAGTAAATACAAAAATAGTTGCGTAGTAGTTTGGAAATTTTAATTACTTTTTTAAGTTTAGTCAACTAATCTCAAAAATAAGATTTTACTAAAAATATTTAGTTAGTTGCCCATGATTGAAAAAAATTAAATTAAATAAAGTAATTAATTAAAATTATTAATTAAAATAATTAAAATTAATTATTTTGATGTTTTACGATTTTATAACATTTCATTTTTTTTAATAATTGAATATTTAAAAACTTTGTTCTAATCCAATAATCAGATTTTGGCCAGGGAGTTCTTCTCTCTCCCCCACCAGCTCAGCTTCTCCTATCTCCAACCAGTCCCTCACCCATCTTCGTGGCCAGCGGTCCAATATTTCACGGTCCCGTAGTTTCGGTACCTAGCCAAACTTCTCTCACCCCTCTACCGAGTCCTGGTATAGGACCTCAGCAAATCGTCTACCCACAACAATGCCCTCAAGATTTCAACATCATGTACCAATTTGAATCATGCATGTCCTCCAACCCTACCACTCCGTCTGCAGCGTACGAGTTCAACCCCATCATGCATTCACCCCTGCTGAACGGCAGCACCAACGGATTATTTGCTCATTAAATGAATTTTCACATATTTAATTTTTTTTCCCGACAACTAAAATAATTTAGTGCCTCTGTACATTACCTTTGTTAGTGAATCTGGTAAACTCCACCAACAATTTTGAAGTTTGAAGTAAATTCCATGTTTGTTTTACAGCGTTCGAATAGAACATCACATGTTCATAATATTAAACGGGCATATAAACACTAAGTACCGACCCAAACTATTATTTATCATTCAACTGGTCTTCAAGAACTTGCATAAAATCCAAATTGTTGCTCAATACTCTTGTACAAAAATGTATGTATGAAATATTACGAAAATTTTTAATATTAATGTTAACATTTTACGTTCGCTATACCGCAAGAAGCTTGTGTGTTTGAACATTTAGTCTTCATTTTAGACATTCACGTCATAATGGACAAAATGTTTTGAATAGTTTGTACATGTTTACATTGAATTATTGGTGCAGACTTAAACTTTCTTATTTATGTTTTTATTATAACTTTATTATTGCTGCTTATTGCTTGGTTCTATCAATTCTCTTTTTCTTCAATTTAGCTTTTGTTTTTTTTGTTTTAAATATTCTCTATAAGATTAATTTTTAAACTATTTCATAGTAAATAGATACTTGTAATACATATTTTATGTTTTATAAAATTTGTGCAAATATTTTTTTTCCAATAAAATATTGTCTGAATAAAAATTCAAACAAAAAAACAATTTTTCCACTGTGATAAATTTTTTCTTTCAAACTAATGAGGTGAAGTTTTGTGTCCGAAGCTGTTTTTTAATTGAATAGAATTCGATAGCTGGTTGCATCATCCAGCATCGACCCATTGAAATCTGCATCGGCAGCAGGCTGCCACAAACTCGTTTCACGATCAATTATATTTGAGATTGTCTGTAGACTTTGTACATTACCTTTGTTAGTAAATTAGACTATGTTGATTTTGGTCATTATGTATTTTTGTTTATCTGACATTTAGTAAATAATTAGTTATTATATATACAATTTAATATTTTTAAATCGTTAAGCCATGCACTATCATTAAAATGAGCTTAAACGAATGTGTATATCCAGCCACATTGGAATAACAAAAAACAAAAAAGATTTCTAAGTTGGAGCCATCGGCGGATCAAGAGCTTTACGGTTGAGAGATGATTTTCGAAATTCTAAAATTAATTACCATTTTAATGACCTTTCAAAATACTGTTGCTGATGTTTTATATTAAGATTTTGTTATGTTCAGCCTCAACTATAATAAAATTATCATCTGCGGAAGAGTCATAGTTCCGATATCCCACTTGGCTATGCCTTTGGCTGAATCTATGGTATAATAAAAATATTGAATTTCTTGAAAAAGGAAGATCACCCCAGCAGAGGCAGGCAGTTTAATAATTCGTCATTGCTTTATTTCAAAGTTTTTTTTATCAAAGATTATAATCGATTAATACAAAAGGGCAACATCACAAAAAATACAACTGTTGAAAAATGCGATTCGCGACTGATTGTTCGTTTAATCTCTTTATGCTGTTTTATGTAAATTTTGGATTTACTTACTCCATTTATTAACTGTGTTACGTAGACGTGGCATGGTGTGTTGTGGCGTGGATGAGATGCTGTGAGGTGAGGTGCAGATGTTGTGTGGTGTGGTGTGATGTGGTGTGGCTTGAAATGGTATGCCGTGATGTGGTGTGGTGTGGTATAGATGAGGAGGCATGTAGGATCAGTTTTGTATGTAGCTCACAACAGATATTTGCAAGCGGGAATAATTTTTATGAGCATGGTTTTTAATTCATTTAACAAATTGAAATAATTAAAAAATCGTTGACACGTACAAAATCTTTCATGAAAAAAATGTTGATGAAAGAAAATATCAAAATATTTAGTAGAAAATAGACACTGTTGAAATATGGTACGATTGACAGTAGCGAGCTATCTCTGTAACAAATTGCATTTAACGGTCAATGAAGTAAGTCAACTGCATTGAAGTGACACCGTGGCATTTGGTGCGGTCATCTGTTCCTTTCATGCTGCTGCTGCCGAGGCCGCGGTTGTTGTTGATGATAACGATGTTGTTGTTGTTGTTGTTGATGATGATGATGATGATGTTGATGATATGGATGTTGTTGTCGTTGTTGTTGATGATGATGATGATAATTTTGTTGATGTTGATGATAAGGATGTTGTTGTTGTTGATGATGTTGATAACGATGTTGTTGTTGATGATGTTGATGATGATGATAAAGATATTGTTGTTGAGGATAACGATGTTGTTGTTGATGGTGACAAGGATGCGATAATAAGGATATTGTTGTTGCTGTTGATGATGTTTATGATGATGATGATGTTGTTGTTGATGTTGTTGATGATGACGAAGTTGTTGTTGTTATTTTTGCTGTGCTGATCACAGATATCAATATAATGATAATGATAATCGATAATCATTGTAGTTGTTGATGGTGTTGACGTTGTTGTTGTTGATAAAGATGATGATGGTGTTGATAATGAGGATGATGATAGTAATAATGATAGTGTTGATGATGATGGGGTGATGATGAAGATGATGAGGATGATGATGATGGGGTGATGATGAAGATGAATTATTTTAATAGCGATAGTGATATCAGCAAGGGCCGTCAGCCGCCAACGAGTGATGCCTCATTCATTAAATCCCTCACCACCAAATCCCCCCCCAAAGCACTGCTGAACTGGTGTTGGTTGCACTTTTAAATTGAATAATTTACTAGTGAATGTTTCTTCTTAGTTACATCGTTAAATGATTAAGCAATGAATTTTTCTCTAGCATGTTTTTATATAAAAATCAAATCTGAATTCTCTGGATGTGAAATTAGTCCGGTTGTTATTATGAAATTGGTTGGATGGTGGCTCTGGTCAGTCTAGTTGTGTGTCACCAAAGATTCGTCATTATCAATTGATAGGTAGATGGATGGATAAATGGTTGGGTGGATAGATGAAATGTTGTATGGATGGATGGATGGATGGATGGACGGGTGGATAGATGGATGGATGGATGGATGGATGTATGGATGGATGGATGGATGGATGAATATATTAATTTATGATTGGTCGGATAAATTGATTCATCGATGAGATGATTAAATAGATGAATAAATGAATATAAAAATTAATGAGTGAAGGAACAAATGGATGGATGGATAACGAATCAATGAATGGATGAATGAATGGATGAATGAATGGATGGATAAATGAATGGATAGATGGGTGGATAGATGGATGAATGGGGGATAGCATTGCAATATTGGCGGTAACGAAATATTTTCACTTATCTCAACATCACAGGCAGTTCATCGGTCTCTTAATTATTCGTGACGTCAGCATCACGTGATTTTGACACAACATCGCGTGATTATGGCACAAAATTACGTGATTATAATACAACATCACGTGATTATTGCACAAAATCACGTGATTATGACACAAAATCACGTGATTATGATACTACATTAATTATGTTGTGGAATTCATAAGTTGTCCGGATCAAGAAAGGAAGCTTGGCGGATAAGCAATCATCTTTTGATGGTTACTTAATAGCGTTAATCTGATATAGTTGTAAAGTCAAGTGGTAAACCTTTTTAATTATTTATTTATTTATTTTAATTACATAAGTAATGATAAATCTCTTAGTTGTTTTTATTAGTTTGTTGCTTC